TTGCCCTTATAGGAAGCTTTTCCCGAACCCAGCATAATATAAACCCTATTTAATTCCTTATATTAAATAGGGGAATTTGTCGGCCAATATATTGGTTCCGCAGATCAAACGGATGTCATGACTTTCTCTAGTTTATTTGATCGAGCCTTACCCTTAATTCTTGTATTCATCCTTTGGGATAGATACAGAATTTGAGGTAAAGTGCTCTTCCATTTAAACTATGAAAATTATGGGGTCAGTTTGACTTCATCTTTTTCAAAACTAAATTTTTTTTTTAAAAAAAAACGTCCTTCCGAAGCGGGCAATGGGATTTCAATTTCGATGACCGACAGTTTCTTACGGGCAAACCCCACACCAAAAATAGTGCCGACAGTGACTCATAATATGCATAATTGGAAAAAAAAATATTTCTTTTTATTTCCTTTGTGAAACATATTTTAAAATTTCTCTCCGAAGAAATTAGCCTTATTAAGAGGTATCATATTATATTTGCATATTATTTCTTTCAATTTAAAAAAAATCCCTAAATTGATTTGAATATATTCAGATTCAAATGTAATTTCAACCTAAATTCAAACCTATTTGAACCTTCAATTTGAACCCGAGATTTGGATTCGAGTTCCGATAGGGTTTAACCATGTTCAAATTAGGTTTGAGTTTGTTTGATTTCAAAATAGAACTAAAATGTTATGATACTGTGTATCACCATGTATCTGTTCATGTATACCTTTGCTTTTCTTATGCAAGAAAAAAAATACTTCTTTTCTCGATGAAAGAGCGATGGTAGGGCTGATTACATGTGAAGGAAAAAGGTGGCTTGTGATGGGAAATTTCTATGGGAAGGCATAAGCAGAAGTGGCAATATGTGAAGGTGTTGGGCTCACAATAGTAGCTCGTTAGAGATAGACATCATGTGCCAGGTGGATTGCAAAGATGAGAGGAGTTTATGAAAGAAATTTAATTAGGGAAGGTGCATGTTTATAAGATTAGTAGAGTGCGAATGCCAAAGAAATTCACTTGGTGATCTGGTTAAAATAAAAGGCGATGTGCATCACAATCGTTCTCTGTACATACATATATACAGAGAAGGTGTGTAAAAAGTGCTTGTAGAGTAGTTGGTTTCATGATGGGAAATATTTGCATACGTATTACGCACGCAGAGTTGTGTTTGTAATAACCCCGCAATAACCTCTGCTTTGCTGTTACTAGAGAGTTATTGGAAGGTTATTGAGGTATTAATTCCAATAACCTATAACCATAATAACCTTCCAATAACCTTCGCGAGTTCAATTCAGATGTTATTCATAGGTTATTATGGGGTTATCGTGGGACACACGCAGAGTTGCATGCGTAATACAAACACAAATATTTCCCTTCATGGTGAGAGATAACTAGCCAAAGGCTTCAATGGGGAGGTGGGATCAAACAGGAGGGCATTGGGGAAGTCTTTCTGTTCAAAATTATTGATTTGATTCAAAGTTCCAACAAAAGATTAAATTTTGATTTGAACTTTATTTGAATTCAAATTCAAATGAGATTTGAAGAAAGTTTGAATTTGAGTACGCACTTGGGTTTCTTCCCAATATGATTTTGAACACATTCAATACATGTTTCAATTTCAAAAAAATTGTTTTTACATACAAATAATTGGAAAAATATTGCACATAGATGAGATAGGTGTGGATTAAGTGCGGATCGGTGGTATTGGCGTGGTATTAATTAGATATTGATGATATTGGGATGGTAAGAGATCATCTACTATTGAAAATAATTTTGGAATTTATTAGGAGCAATTTCATCCCAATGAAAATTTTAAAAAAATGTTTATTTAAAATTAAAAAAAACGAGAATAAATTTTCAAATGAGTTCATTTATGAGTCTCCCAAAGTCAAAAATTTCAAATAAAATCAGACAATCATCTAGATAGAATGAGAGGAAAAGTTAAGGAAAAATTCTTTTTAAAATATCTGTCCGTCGAGGCGGCAGATCGGCATACGGAATATTAATGCCGTGCCTTCAAAGATTCGATTTCGGTACGCGACGCCTCGACCCCGTTGGATTCCCACGTCCACTCTCCTCTTCTTCTCTTCCGCATTCATTCTTATCTCCTCTCTCTCTCTCTCTCCTTCGCTTCCTCTGTTTCTCCTCTCTCTCTCTCCCTCCCTCCCTCTCCCTCCCTCTCCCTCGTCATGGCACTTTCGGCTCGCAAACGAGACCTCCGTGCCTACATCGAAGCCCTGGAAGACGAGCGTCGCAAGATACAGATGTTCTCCCGGGAGTTACCTCTCTGCCTCGAGCTTATCACCCAAGGTACGTCCAAAATCACTTTTTTTGCCCTGTTTGGGAGATTAATGTTCAGTGTTTAGCTAAAAATTCTTCTTTAACGGGCAGCGATCGAAATTAGACGGCAGGAGATGGCTGACGATGAGTATTCAGGTGAAGTGCCGGTTGTAGAGGAGTTCATTTCTCTGAAACCAACCTCTTCTTCTTCTCCCAGCGACAAAAGTCTCAAATTGGCAGGTGATTCTAAGCCCGATTGGCTAAGATCCGCTCAGTTATGGGCTCCGTCTACGGTGGCCGGAGTAGAAACGTCGCCGGAAGAGGTGAGACACAAAAAAAAAAAAAAAATCAAACTTAAACTCTTTCTGTGCTTTATCTCCTTCTTATCGATAAAAATTAACGTTTTTCTGCTCGATTAGAGCTCGAAGCTGAGAAAACCGGTGGCTAAGATTGGAGGAGCATTTCAGCTGCTTGAGAAGGAGAAGCCTTGCCCGCCTCCAGCGTCGGAGGTTCTTGAGAGCTCCATCACCATGGAGAACATTGCTGCGCCCAGGAAGCAGAGGAGATGTTGGTCTCCTGAGCTGCATCGCAAGTTCCTGGACGCACTTGAGCAACTTGGTGGTTCCCAATGTGAGTTCTTCATTTATGATCAAACAAGCAGAAGAATTTTTATTTATTTTTATAGAAAAAGATTGGTTTGGGAAAGGATGAAGTTTGGATTGCATGTTTTCAGCGGGGACACCCAAACAAATCAGGGAGCTGATGAAGGTGGAGCGGCTGACAAATGATGAGGTGAAGTCTCATTTGCAGGTGAAGATTTGTTCAAATTGCTCACCTTTCAATATGCAAAATGATCAATTACTCTCATTTTCAATCAAATTAATTAATTTTATTGATGCGCTGCAGGCTTCATGTATCTCAATCTTTAAATCACAGTTATTCATATATATTCAATCATATGAAACTCTAGATACGTATTTCAAATTATTTTCAGATTACTGTGCGCTCTTTATCATGTTTAGCTAACGTGTTTTTGTTGACTAAATTACTTACATCATAAATGTTTTTACCATTTATATCCAAAAATCTGAAATTTCAGAGTGTGACATAACCTAGTTTCACCTCTCCTTGTCACTCATCCTAGTGTTGTTCATGATCTCTTCTTGTGACTTTCTTTAGTTTTAAGTTTTTTTGGAACCAATATTAGTTTTATATAGTAGTATAATTACTAAATTACTTGCATGATAAAAATTATAAAATTTTATTATTTATATAGAAAATTCTTAAATTTCCGAGTGTGTAATTGCTCATCCTAGACATAATCTAGTTCTACAACTACTTGCCACTCATGATAGTGTTGTTCACGATCTTCTTGCTGACTTTCTTCATTCTAATTTTTTGCAACAACTTATTCAATCCTTGATTAAAGAATTCACATCTAATTTTACTCATACTACCATATAAAACTAATATTGGATGCTACATTCAACCTAGTTTTACATATAAGAAGTATTTGTAGCCTGTTTAAACTTATATTGCACAGTTGCCCGTTGTTTTTTCTGTTGTCATACTGGCCTATTAAATTTCGTGCATTTTATACATATAATGATATAAAAGATTCATGTAGTGGTGTCTTCTGAAGTTTAGGATCGAATTGGGTATATAATATTGTGTGTGTTGTCTCTGCATGTCCGGATCAATAATGACACGATTGAGCCGTATGTGAATGCACAATAACATGACCGCATCCTATCCGTTGTTCCGCACGCAATACATAAGATGTACGCAGCTCTGCGTACATCAGGGGTTATTCAGGGGGTACAATGGGGTTATATCTGGGTTATACCCCCTTGTAACCTCCGGTATAACCCGGATATAACTCCCTTGTACCCCCAGAATAACCTCTGATATACGCAACGCTGCGTACATCTTATATATGCAAATATTTCTCCTACAACTAGTTATAAAAATAGTTGCAAGAGTATCATTTTTTTTGATTTGGGGCCTCTACAACTAGTTATAAAAATAGTTGCAAGAGTATCATAATAAAAATAATAAATTTTGAAAAACAGCGTTACATGCATAACTACTGCAGAAATACCGGCTACACACAAGGCGGCTGCCACCCACTATTCAGAGCAGCAGTCGCATCAGCCCTCAAATCCCTCCACAGTTCGTGTTGGTAGGAGGTATATTGGTTCCTCCACCGGAGTATGCGGTGGCGGCCTCTTCCGCTGAACAAAGCAGTGCGGCTTTCAATGGACTTTACACGAGAAATCCTCAAATAAAACAGCCAAAGCAGCAGAAACAGCTGAATAATTTACCTTTCAGGCCATCACAGTCATACGAAGATGATAATAATAATCCCGCAGATCATGAATCGGAAACGAAATCTGATTCTTGCAACATGTCATCGGCCTCGCAGACCACAACTTTGCCTCTCTTGTGAGATTTTTTTTTTTTTTGTTTAGGTCTCACATTTGAAGATGGTGAGGAAAGTGAACGAGCATTCACATTTATTATGCGTTTTTTTAACTGTAGAAGTATGGAGTAGCATACTTGGACCGGCATGTTTTTTCTTACATACAATTAGATTTGTATGAGAGCATAGCATGATTGATGTCCAACGCTTCTGTTGCTTATTTGGAGCGTTTTATGATTTGTTGAGTTTGATTAATTCCTAACTTTGGGAAATTCGTGCCGATCTCTTCTTTTATACTGTGTCAGAGACTTTCATCTTGTTGTATTCTTATATCAAACGAAATAATTGTCAGTGATCAAGATTGGATTCATGAACATAGAATGTCTCTCTCCCTCTCTCTCTCCCTCTCTCATATTTACGTAAAAATGTATGTCCATCCACTAAGATAATGCGAACAAAAGGAAAAAAAAAAAAAGAAAAAAACACGAAGACCCCAAAAGTACATGTGTTATGTAATATTTACTCCTCCCACGCATGCACACGCACACCTATTTTAAAGTCCATTCTTTGAGATTTCGGCACGCACAAAGCAAGATTTATAGGCCGTTTCTTTTTTTTTTTTTAATAATTTTTTATTTATATTTTAATTTGAAATCAACATTGCTACTGTCGGGATTCCAAGCCCTGGATACAAAAAATAAGGAGTTACATTAAATGGTCGACAACCTACAACATAATTTTTTTTGATGAAAAATCATGATATTAATATATCCTCTAAATAATTGTCTAGTTGCTACTGTGTCCCATGAAAATGATGCACTTTATGACTTAAATACTGTGAAAAGTTTGCAGGTCCGTTACACTGGCGTCGAGTGTAATGTTAAATAAACAAGAGTTCTCACATTATAGACAAATGTAAAAATAGTTTGTACTCTCACCAGTAGATTAATTGAATTAGTAGTGATACGACTTCAACAAATTTTTATCATCTAACATGAATCTTGAGGCATGATACACTTCTCGAGATGACTTTTTGAGCAAGAAATATTCAAACTTCGATAAAAAGTCATCCAAAGCTCCTTTTTCAGCAAACTTACAGTCAAACTGACCAGCTCGACGAGAAAAACCGAATGTTATCAAAATTGGTCCAATCCAAACAAAATCAAGCCATTAAACCATTTTTTGAAGTTTTCTAAACACATTTGGAAGATCAAACGAATGTGGATTCTCTCTAGTCAAATCGAATGTTTTGACAAGACAAATACTATGGGCCCAATATCACTCAATTCTAGCATAATTAAGACACTCAAACTTTCATCAAATGTCATCTGATCGAGAGAAGCCATCTGAGTTGCTTGATCAAAGTGATTTATATTCATGCATTAATAACACCCAAAACTCTATAAATAGAGCCCAACCCCTCTAACGAAGAAGGAAGAAAACTTGAAGCCGGAGGAGAGCTTGAAGTCTGAAGAGAGAGCTTGAAACTTTGAGAAGAAGTTGAAGTTCAACGCCGCTCTTGCCGACGTCATCCAAAACTAACCACCATCGACCACCCCGACAGTCGTCATCCGCCGCTGACCCCCACTGGCCTTTGCTGACCTCCGCAGGTCGTCGTCGTCCCCCATTTACTGGCCGCTGCCCATCGCTATCAGTTATCATCCGTTCCATGCAAAAATTTCATATGCATGTCCACGTTGTCACTTGGGAAATCTTCTAATCCTTTCCAACATGTAAGAGAAGTTGTTGCAATTATAATCATCTTTATAGTTGCACTCTTCAGCTGGATCAGACCCTGTGATTTTTCATGTACCGGTTTTTCACCTAAAAATTTATAATGTCATTACTAGTTTTTTTTTGGCTGAATGTATGTTGAATCTTCATATCATGCTAAGATGATAATTTGGTACTTTATTGCCTCAAATTTGTTAACACACAGTAGTTTGACGTCGTCTGTGAGTATTTAAATTTGCATTTCCAAAATGAACATTGGACAGTTTAGATTTTGAAGTGAATTTTCCTTTTAGAACTGACAAGCGAGATTTTGAAGGGAATTTCTATTTTGAAAACAAAAATTAAACTTCACAATGGAGTAAACATCGAACATTCTTACATCATATGAAATATTTTCTTCTAAGAAAATATTTCAAAGTGTGCAATTAATTGCATAAGTGACTGTCGGGAGAAGAATGATTGGTTCTACGATTGGATTTACAATTGGAAACAAAATATAAAATAAATATATCCATGAAAAGGTTGGAGTAGCTACAGTTGCGGGATATTAGAAATAGATATTTTAATGGATTTAATGATCTTCGACATACCTAACATTGATATGATGTTAAATAATCCAATTTCAATCCAACCGAAGGACAACTTAAAAGAAAATTGATCCAAAATTAATTTTTGAGTGATAGTCGTTGTTCAAGCTGAATTCACATAGCTACCCAATGTAACACATATAAAATCTTACGTGTACATGAAAAATTGTATTAAAATGCAAAGTTTAAGTGTTGGATACATAAATACTTTGGAATTACACATTTTATCTCTAACAACCCTATGTATGGATATATTCATTATGCATTTTATCCTTAACAATAACAACAACATCTTTAAACATTTATCCCACTAAGTTGGGTCGCCTACGAGAATCCTTTTCCTTCATTGCTTCTCTTTTAAAGGCTAACATTTTGCACCATAGAATATTGAGGATCTCATGATCGTCTTATAAAATTTTCTTTGAGGTCTAAGTGATATTTTCTATCACACAATAGGGCAGATGCATTCCTCCACTTCAACCAACCAACTAGAAATCTACTAATCACATCCCCATTTATATCGCCATAACTTTGAACAAGAGACCCGAGATATCTAAAGCTACTTCCACTAAAATTGCATTTCAAGTAATCAGTTCAAGATCTACTAAAAAAAGGCCTTTAGACTCCAATGTCGACCTCCATAATTTAAGTTTTCCCTAAACACTTTTTGTAGTCTTATCCACAAGAAGGATATTACTGACAAAAAGCATGCACTAAGGTACATCCTTCTATAAATGTCTAGTAAGAGGAACCATTACAAAAGCAAAAACCTAACCATAACTAAAGCAAAAACCTATGGACTCAAAGCCGATCCCTCATGTACTCCAACTAAAATAGGAAAATAATTGGTCAAATCTCTTTCTAGTACCTAAACCCTAAACCCTAATCACATTCCTTCAAGGAAATGAAGATAAAAACAAAAATGAAGAGAAGAAGTTACCTTCCTTGATCGTTTCGGAGAGGAAAGGAGCAGAAGGAGAAGAAAAATGAGACTTTCCGATCACTGCAAGCCACGTTCCCAATGATGCATTCTCAACTAGCTTCTGTTGTGACTGTCTTGTGAGGGTTCAGTGATGAATGTGATGGTTTTTGACAAAATAGAAAGGTGGGTGGATGGAGATGCGAGGGTTTGGAGAGGAGAGGGCTTCGAGGAGAGGGGAGTAGGTGGGGGAGTTGATTAGGGCAACACAGGGAGGGCCGCGATTTTGGTGGTATAGCATATTATTTCCAACCGCTTATACACGACTTCCAATCCGTCGATTAATAACATTATTCCTGATAGCATTCCAGTTGTTTATTAAAAAAATTTGTCGGTTAATACCCTGCAAGATGGCGGGTTCGAAGATAACCAACAAAATATGGTTGTCAGTTAATATTTGCAGGTGGAGAGAATCGAGGGAACTCTAGAGTGAGAGCCAGTATCTTCTCTGCCTTGCTGATCTTTAGAACTATTCAAACTTTAAATTAGCCAATATTCTTTATAGCATATCTAATAAGGGTAAAGAATATTATTGCTCCTATTTGACACAACACAATTTGCATACTTCCGCAACAAAATTTCCATACTTATTAGTGATTCATGATAAAAAGAAAGATATTTTCATATTAAGTATTTTTCTTCTACAAAAACTTTAGTTATCTTTTTAAGTTGTTACTGTTTCGTTAAAATATCAAAAATACCAAAAATATTTACATTTTAATTTCTACAAAAATCATTTTTTGTTTAAGTAATTATCTTTTTAAAAATAGAAAAACTTTCTAAAAAGTGCATATTGCATAATTTTCCCTATGGGTTCGATATTCAGATCTTAATCAAAAAGTCCTGTATTACTTGATAACGATACGTATACTTGCGTAGTATCCCAATATAAATATATATAAATAAAAAAAATTAAATTCTTATTTTTCTTCAAGAACAAGTTTTTGGTTTTGTTGGAAAATAAAGAAATATAAGTGAAAAATCTATCAAAACTATTGTTATATTGTGCATAAGCATTAAGTTTCAAGGATCAAGTTTTTGGCGCCATTGTTGGGGATTAAAATCTTCAAGTAGTGGTGTCAACTTCATAAATTCTAACACGGAGCTCTAGAGAATTTTATTACTTCAAGGAATTACACCGTCGAGCGTCTCGACTTCTATAAGAAAGAACAATCTTTCTCTCTTTCTTTCTCTCCTCTTCCTCACGTCTCCTACCTCTCTCTCAAAGCCACGAGAAAGGAACACAAGAAATATTTTTCTTCTAAGCCAAAGAAAAGAAACCAAAAATAAAAGTTTTTTCTTTTTCCTTTTCCTTCAAGCTTCAATTGAAGAGGAGTTTGTGGGATGATTTTGGAGAGCAGGCGGGGTTAGCCTTTTATAGGGAGCAGGCGAAGCTAATTAAGTAAATAAGAGGAAGATTTTCAAGATCTCACAAGATTCTTAGTGAAGCTTTTCAGGCGTTTGCCTTGGAAGAAAATCTTTAAGAAAGTAAATATTTAATTAATAATTAAATATTTTGTCATAACAGATTCTTGACAAATTCAAAGAAAAGGTGTACCGGGCTCCACTTTACTTAACAATTTTCTCACTTGGTGACTGGAACACTAGCTGCACCATCCATTGGGTGCGCTGCCCTTTTTCTTCAAACGTGATATCCTCCACCTCTGCAACTCAAAGTCTCTGTCTTCACGCTAGAAAACCAACTGAAGTCGAGCACAACTTCAGTTTCTCAAGAGTGACACCCTTAGTCAACTCATCAGCAGGGTTCTTGCTTCCACAAAATTTCTTAAATAGTAATTGTCTGTCTTCTAACAAAGATCGAATGAAGTGATACATGATCTGAATGTGCTTGGTCCTGGATTGAAAATCTGGATTTCTGGTAAGGAATATGGTGCTCTATCACTGTTAAGTGTGCCTTTCTGAGCCTTCTTACCCAATTCTTTCAGGAAGCTCTACAGCCATTCAATCTCCTTTGCAGCATCTGACACTGCAACATACT